AACAAGACGTGTTGAACATACGCACAGACAGCCTTCTAAAAGGACAAATTGTATGCCTTTGCCAGACTACAACTGCCATAAACAAGACGTGTTGAACATGCGCAGAGAGAGCCTTCTAAGAAGGACAAGTTGTATGCCTTTGCCAGACTACAACTGCCATAAACAAGACATGTTGAACATACGCACAGACAGCCTTCTAAGAAGGACAAATTGTATGCCTTTGCCAGACTACAACTGCCATAAACAAGACATATTGAACATGCTCAGAGACAGCCTTCTAAGAAGGACAAGTTGTATGCCTTTGCCAGACTACAACTGCCATAAACAAGACATGTTGAACATACGCACAGACAGCCTTCTAAGAAGGACAAATTGTATGACTTTGCCAGACTACAACTGCCATAAACAAGACATGTTGAACATAATGCACAGACAGCCTTCTAGACAAATTGTATGCCTTTGCCAGACTTCAACTGCCATAAACAAGACATGTTGAACATAATGCGACAGACAGCCTTCTAAGAAGGACAAGTTGTATGCCTTTGCCAGACTACAACTGCCATAAACAAGACATGTTGAACACACGCGCAGACAGCCTTCTAAGAAGGACAAATTGTATGCCTTTGCCAGACTACAACTGCCATAAACAGGACATATTGAACATACGCGCAGACAGCCTTCTAAGAAGGACAAATTCGATGTCTTTGCCAGACTACAACTGCCATAAACAAGACGTGTTGAACATCTTGGCGCAGACAGCCTTCTAAGAAGGACAAATTGTATGCCTTTGCCAGACTACAACTGCCATAAACAAGACGCGGTTGAACATACGATTGACAGCCTTCTAAGAAGGACAAATTGTATGCCTTTGCCAGACTTCAACTGCCATAAACAAGACATATTGAACATACGCACAGACAGCCTTCTAAGGAGGACAAATTGTATGCCTTTGCCAGACTACAACTGCCATAAACAAGATGTGTTGAACATATGCGCAGACAGCCTTCTAAGAAGGACAAATTGTATGCCTTTGCCAGACTACAACTGCCATAAACAAGATGTGTTGAACATATGCGCAGACAGCCTTCTAAGAAGGACAAATTCGATGTCTTTGCCAGACTACAACTGCCATAAACAAGACGTATTGAACATGCGCACAGACAGCCTTCTAAGAAGGACAAATTGTATGCCTTTGCCAGACTACAACTGCCATAAACAAGACGTGTTGAACATATCGGACAGACAGCCTTCTAAGAAGGACAAATTGTATGCCTTTGCCAGACTACAACTGCCATAAACAAGACATATTGAACATACGCACAGACAGCCTTCTAAGGAGGACAAATTGTATGCCTTTGCCAGACTACAACTGCCATAAACAAGATGTGTTGAACATATGCGCAGACAGCCTTCTAAGAAGGACAAATTGTATGCCTTTGCCAGACTACAACTGCCATAAACAAGATGTGTTGAACATATGCGCAGACAGCCTTCTAAGAAGGACAAATTCGATGTCTTTGCCAGACTACAACTGCCATAAACAAGACATATTGAACATTTGCCAGACTACAACTGCCATAAACAAGACATGTTGAACATGAGCACAGACAGCCTTCTAAGAAGGACAAGTTGTATGCCTTTGCCAGACTACAACTGCCATAAACAAGACATGTTGAACATACGCACAGACAGCCTTCTAAGAAGGACAAATTGTATGCCTTTGCCAGACTTCAACTGCCATAAACAAGACATGTTGAACATACGCGCAGACAGCCTTCTAAGAAGGACAAGTTGTATGCCTTTGCCAGACTAAAACTGCCATAAACAAGACATATTGAACATACGCACAGACAGCCTTCTAAGAAGGACAAATTGTATGCCTTTGCCAGACTTCAACTGCCATAAACAAGACATGTTGAACATACGCGCAGACAGCCTTCTAAGAAGGACAAGTTGTATGCCTTTGCCAGACTACAACTGCCATAAACAAGACATATTGAACATGCGCAGAGACAGCCTTCTAAGAAGGACAAATTGTATGCCTTTGCCAGACTACAACTGCCATAAACAAGACATGTTGAACATACGCGCAGACAGCCTTCTAAGAAGGACAAATTGTATGCCTTTGCCAGACTACAACTGCCATAAACAAGACATGTTGAACATACGCGCAGACAGCCTTCTAAGAAGGACAAATTCGATGTCTTTGCCAGACTACAACTGCCATAAACAAGACATGTTGAACGTACGCGCAGACAGCCTTCTAAGAAGGACAAGTTGTATGCCTTTGCCAGACTACAACTGCCATAAACAAGACATGTTGAACATACGCACAGACAGCCTTCTAAGAAGGACATATTGTATGCCTTTGCCAGACTACAACTGCCATAAACAAGACATATTGAACATACGCGCAGACAGCCTTCTAAGGAGGACAAATTGTATGCCTTTGCCAGACTACAACTGCCATAAACAAGACATATTGAACATACGCACAGACAGCCTTCTAAGAAGGACAAGTTGTATGCCTTTGCCAGACTACAACTGCCATAAACAAGATGTGTTGAACATACGCACAGACAGCCTTCTAAGAAGGACAAATTGTATGCCTTTGCCAGACTACAACTGCCATAAACAAGACGTGTTGAACATACGAACAGACAGCCTTCTAAGAAGGACAAGTTGTATGCCTTTGCCAGACTACAACTGCCATAAACAAGACATGTTGAACATACGCACAGACAGCCTTCTAAGAAGGACAAATTGTATGCCTTTGCCAGACTACAACTGCCATAAACAAGACGTGTTGAACATACGAACAGACAGCCTTCTAAGAAGGACAAGTTGTATGCCTTTGCCAGACTACAACTGCCATAAACAAGACATATTGAACATGTGCGCAGACAGCCTTCTAAGGACAACATTTTATGTTGTCTCCTGGCGAGAGATATTGGAATGTTGTATTTTTCCCTGCCCTTTAAGCACAGAATTGCTGTAGGTTGATAATGATACTGTGGTAACAGCTAGTTGTATATAGTTGACAGCAAGGAGGACTTTTGTTGAAGTTTTAGTGTTATTGTGATTGCAGCCACAAGTACAGGATTTGATGCAGTCGGGGAAGTAGTTTTAGAATTACAAATGTATAAATAATGATAACTATTGTTCAATTTCTCGTCACTAAAACAAGAAACCTGGGTCTATGCTTAACAAAAGGATTGATTCGACCATCTTCCTTAAAGATATTATGGTTGGTTGCAACTCCTTCCATACCCAGTCTTGGACATCTCAATTGTCAGAGAGTTGTCTTCTTATTCTCCAGTTAAGACAAGAGATTGATCCTTGTAGTATTCTAGGGACCCTTTAGTTGTGAGTTTATCTTGCAGGATACTCTTTATTTCTCCCATGGTTTGGCTGCAGATCAAATGGATTTTGCTTTGGAATTAATTAGATCAATATCTGATTGTAGGTTTACAGTGGCATACTACAATGTTCTTGATTTTATACTCATTTTGAACAAGGACTTGAAATTATAACTGTATGTCCTGAAATAGCCCTGACCCTTACCACTAATGACAGAAACAGCTGTGACAATCATCCGTGTAATGTCAAGGTCATGTCATCAGAATATTCACACTGAGGAGAAAGGTTTTACTTCTGCTCCTATTTCCATTTGGTCTTGTCTGGTTTGGATTTGCTGTATCCCAGTTTTTGTCAAAGTTTATGGACATGTGTTGAGGAGAGTATATGAACATTGTTTGTTGAGCCAAGAGGAATCACTGTTTATCTCCCTCAAGGAAATTCATGTCATAGACATTCATTCACATTTGAGTTTTGAGTTGGTTGTCTTCTTTGTTACCCATAATGATTTATTGCAAACAGGTCCAGATCCCATCAATAACGACCTTTTACATTTTTCGTGGCTGTTCCCCAAACATAAGGAGCAGTTGCAAGTGACCTTGAGAAGTCACTTTGGATTGGGGGAAATTAACTGACGCTCAACATTCACAAAAGCAACCTTCTGGATCTTACATATCTGTTGTGTATGATTCATTAGCGTAAACAAGCACAAGTTAAAAGTTATTTATTTAACATCAGCAAGAGTGACATTGTCGGTTGAAATGGGTGACTTGTTTTGACATATTTCTACAGCTGCTCAGTAAGCCTGTTCTTTTAAGAACAAATAAATGAAAAAATAATACCTGCAACCAATGAAAAGCCAAGTTATTTCTTGAAAAACTCTAATTGCCATGGGCATTACAGAATGTTTAATACCCTCTCTCCAGCTTGCAGACCGCCTCCGTGGTGTAGTGGTTAGAGCGTCCGCCCGGAGAGCGGAAGGTCGCGTGTTCGGTCCCCGACTGCATCATATCAAAAGACGTTAAAATATGGTACTTGTGGGCCCTGCCTGGCTCTCGGCATTAATGGGTACAACAAGGACTGGTCGGCTCAGAGTCAGTATAATGTGTCTGAGTGGGGTATTCATCCTTCACTGCGGCATGGTATCTCAGTGGGCTAGCACTATAAAACCAGCTTAAGTCTGGGCTAGTACAAGCAGCCGCACATACACATACACACGCATGCACGTCGTCATATGAGCGAAATATTCTCAAGCACGACGTTAAACCCAATTTCACCTCACCTCACCTCTCCAGCTTGCCTTATGGGTAAGAAAAATATGGTAAACTAGATCTGCTTAATTTGAGGGCATTCAGAAAGAGGTAGGAATGGATGTGATTCTGTTTTTGCATGATTAGTGATAGTTTGTCTGTTGTGTAAAAGCCCATTTATTGTGCCTCACACCAAATGAAAACAGTAGATTCTGAGTAAGAGAGGTAACATGAAATAACTGAGATTGACTTTGGTGCTAAGCCTTCTCTTCTGTTATATAATTGTTATTGTTACAGTGAGTAACACATTAGTTATCATAAAAACATGTCTGTGTGGTGTTAGACCAATCTATTGTACTAAACATTTAGCATGGCATGATGTTGTCCTTTCAGAGAGATGCCCTCATAAAGAGGATCTGTGACATAGCTGAGGCTGCTGCCCTGTGTGGAGTGAACATCCTGTGTTTCCAGGAGGCTTGGAGTAAGTATGATTCTCTGAGGCTGAGGCTGAGGCTGAGGCCCTGTGTGGAGTGAACATCCTGTGTTTCCAGAAGCTTGGCATAAGTCTGACTGACTGACTGAGTTTGGTTTTACACCGCTTTTAGCAATATTCCAGCAACATCACGGCGGGGGACACCAGAAATGGGCTTCACACATTGTACCCATGTGGGGATTCGAACCCGGGTCTTCGGCGTGACGATCCAATGCTTTAACCATTAGGCTACCCCACCGCCCCCTTGGCATAAGTATGATTCTCTGAGGCTGCTGCCCTGTGTGAAGTGAACATCCTGTGTTTCCAGGAGGCCAGGAGTAAGTATGATTCTCTGAGGCATAGGCTGAGGCTGAGGCCCTGTGTGAAGTGAACATCCTGTGTTTCCAGGAGGCCAGGAGTAAGTATGATTCTCTGAGGCTGAGGCTGAGGCTGAGGCCCTGTGTGGAGTGAACATCCAGTGTTTCCAGAAGCTTGGCGTAAGTATGATTCTCTGAGGCTGAGGCCCTGTGTGGAGTGAACACCCTGTGTTTCCAGAAGCTTGGCGTAAGTATGATTCTCTGAGGCTGAGGCCCTGTGTGGAGTGAACACCCAGTCTTCCCAGCCTGAGCTTAGACCATGTACAACGTTTTTATTTTAAATTTGTTCTTCCTGTCAGATATGCCATTTGCCTTCTGCACCAGAGAGAAATCCCCATGGTGCGAGTTTGCTGAGTCAGCAGAAAATGGACCTACAGTGAAAGCGATGCAAGAAGTGAGTGAGCAACCCCATGTATATGTTTGTGTGTATTGTTGCTAAGGTGTGTACTGATAGTACACAAGTAAACTGACAACACATGGATATAAAGCATAAATAATTAAAAAACAGAACACATGACTAGAGAACCGTAGGCTTCCTTGATTAATCAGAGAGTAGGTTTATATCATTTCTTCTACAGTAACAATATATGCATGTTTGTGTTTAGGATCATTCAAACTAAACTGTTTCCATAACAGTCTCTTATTGAAGATAATTTAGTAGCTCCTCATCATTTGCCACAGCATGTAGAACATTTGCACATTGAACACTGACATTTGTTGTGTTGTCCAGCTGTGCAAGAAGCACAACATGGTTGTAGTGAGCTCCATCTTGGAACGGGACGAGGCCCATGGCGAAATCCTGGCCAACACCACAGGTACGTCGAGTGATGATTTCACCCAGTAGCTACATGTATGGACATTATGACCACTGAAAGGACTCAAGTAATCTGCAACTTGAGCCATTTGTCTGAAACCCAAGTAAAATTTGGTTCTGTGTGGTAAGCTAAGGGCCCATATTGTAACACTAGCTGAAGTCTTCCAGCAATGTGGTTAAGGGCTAGTGGACACAGAAATGGCACTGACTGCTCACTCGTGCAGAGGGGAGCTGAAGCTTTACGATGGCCTGTAGGGTCATAACGTGACATGGATTTAGTTACACTAGTTACTAGAAGTAAACAGAACTTTCGTGATCGTAAGAGTAACTTGACACAATCCATATTGTCTGTCATTCTATTGGTAACAACATATTTAATCTATCCTCCAAACATGAACAATGTCAGCAAGACAATTCTCACTCTCTCTGAAACCTAATGTTATAAAGGTAATGCTATTTTTGAGGGCATTATCATTTGCAGAAGCCCGAGGTCTTCTATTAACTGCCCGACGAAGGAGGCAGAGGTTTCTGCAAATGATAATGCCTCCAAAAATAGCATTACCGTTATTATTGCTAAAATACATGGAATTTGTGTTGAAAAGAAAAAGGAAACAATGAAGCAATTTGACTGTAAGTTTACTCAAAACCATCTTCTGATGGGGTTGACTGACAGAATACAATTATGTCATCGAACAATTCAAGTGACGTCACAACAGAATGTGACGATATTCGACCTTGGCCTTTGACAAGACCATTGCCTGCAACATGTCAAGCTATGTTTCGACACAACTTCAGTTTTCAGTGTTCGGTTTTGGTCCAACAAGAACGTTAATATGCTGTAAGCCATTAAAAACGCAATTTGACATCCATATTTTCTTTACTGACACTAATTTCAACATATATAAACCTAACTGGCAGATATGTTTTAAGTGAAGATCTGTGAATAATTTCATCTGAAAATGTCCAGTCAACAACAACATCAGTGATAGCTGTTGGATGGTCTGCAGCCTCTGATGGTCTGTGGTCTGATCATGACACCCCCGCTCCAAAACGATCATGTTCAAGGACACAGTTTGGCGCAAGTCTTTCTCCTTTACGTCGATAAATCTGTTGAAGTCCATATGCAAAGGATAAGTTAAACCTGAATTCATCTGAAAAAATGACATCTGGCCATGTCCTGTTGCCAAGATTGGCCCCATTTGCTGCTGATCGCTGTCTGGCAAGTCTGTGGCGATGCAATAAGGTTGGACCACGGTACAGGTGACGACACGGATGTTGAAGGCAGCAAGGCGTCCTTGCACCTTTTGGGCGCTGAAAGGATGTTGACTTGTCCCAATTGTCCTCCTTGCCTAATCATCAGCTGTTTGGAACCCGATTTACATGAAGTGTGAAACTTCGGATATTGCGGTTTTGTCGAGCTGTTATCACAGGTGGTGCACCAGGTCGCGGACGATCAGCAACACTTCCGGTAGCCAGCGTTGTCTGAGTCGACTTTACAGTGGATGGATGCACATTAAAGTGCCTGGCAATCATCACATCTGAAGCACCGTGGCTGGCCATACCGATAACCTGATTCCTTTCGTCTTGTGTCAAGTGTGGCATTTTCTCAAAGTGATTGAGTTTCACAATTCCTTGTGCTTTTACAGGGCCTGGGTGCAGGTAATGCATGTGCACAACGTGTTTCATGAATATGGTTGTGTTTACGAGAAATGTCAAAGGTTCAGTTTTAAGTATCAAAGTTCATGTGAGAGGAATACTTCGGGACTCGAACTCGAAATGGGCCAGAATAACAGCCTTTTATCCCTACATCCTCTGTATCGCAGGAAAAAATCTTCAATAGAACTTTTGTAAGTTTCAGGACAACAAATACCAATTGCGTTTTTAAAGGCTTACAGTATAGTACAATTGTTAAGGTTAGCACCAGCAAGAAAGCCAATATTACCGCTATTTAAAGCGGGAATTCGGGTTGCTTTGACTTGTTTGCCCCAGAATATCTGCCAGTCCAAAGCCAATGTCGAATGAACCGTAAACCCACGCATATTTCTGATAATAGGAGGGCCGTTTCATGATAATTCCTTGTATTTTAGCTATAATTTCTGTTATATGCCTTACTTTGCCCCAAACCCTTCAATATTGTTTACAGTGCACAAGAAATGAAACATGATCTCAGATTAGGTTATACGGAGTCTAAAACATTTTACATAATTGAGGATGTGGCTTGCATTACATCAAATAATTTGTTCACTGAATTTTCAAGCTGTTTTACAAGTTGACTGAAATTTGACATTGATGAAACATATAAATTTGTTATTTGTACCATAACAATGAGGGTAGTTGTGTAATGACAATGTGGGTAGTTGTGTAATGACAATGAGGGTAGTTGTGTAATGACAATGTGGGTAGTTGTGTAATGACAATGAGGGTTGTTGTTTAATGACAAGGAGGGTAGTTGTGTAATGAGGGTAGTTGTGTAATGAGGGTAGTTGTGTAATGACAAAGAGGGTAGTTATGTAATGAGGGTAGTTGTGTAATGACAATGAGGGTAGTTGTGTAATGACAATGAGGGTTGTTGTTTAATGACAAGGAGGGTAGTTGTGTAATGACAATGAGGGTAGTTGTGTAATGACAAGGAGGGTAGATGTGTAATGAGGGTAGTTGTGTAATGACAATGAGGGTAGTTGTGTAATGACAATGAGGGTTGTTGTTTAATGACAAGGAGGGTAGTTGTGTAATGACAATGAGGGTAGTTGTGTAATGACAAGGAGGGTAGATGTGTAATGACAAAGAGGGTAGTTGTGTAATGACAGTGAGGGTAGTTGTGTAGTGAGGGTAGTTGTGTAATGACAGTGAGCGTAGTTGTGTAATGACAAGGAGGGTAGTTGTGTAATGACAATGAGGGTAGATGTGTAATGAGGGTAGTTGTGTAATGACAAGGAGGGTAGTTGTGTAATGACAATGAGGGTAGATGTGTAATGAGGGTAGTTGTGTAATGACAATGAGGGTAGTTGTGTAATGAGGGTAGTTGTGTAATGACAAGGAGGGTAGTTGTGTAATGAGGGTAGTTGTGTAATGACAAGGAGGGTAGTTGTGTAATAACAATGAGGGTAGTTGTGTAATGACAGTAAGAGGTTATTTTTATGACAAGGAGGGTAGTTGTGTAATGACAAGGAGGGTAGACAAGGAGGGTAGTTGTGTAATGACAAGGAGGGTAGACAAGGTGGGTAGTTTGTGTAATGACAAGGAGGGTAGACAAGGAGGGTAGTTTTGTAATGACAAGGAGGGTAGTTTTGTAATGACAAGGAGGGTAGTTTTGTAATGACAAGGAGGGTAGTTTTGTAATGACAAGGAGGGTAGTTGTGTAATGACAAGGAGGGTAGTTGTGTAATGACAAGGAGGGTAGTTGTGTAATGACAAGGAGGGTAGATGTGTAATGACAAGGGGGGTAGATGTGTAATGACAATGAGGGTATTTGTGTAATGACAATGAGGGTAGTTGTGTAATGACAATGAGGGTAGTTGTGTAATGACAATGCTGATAGACAAGGAAGGCTAAGGGACCACTCTGTCATGTTGTTGTGTTACAGTTATTATCTCCAACACGGGTGCTGTGATCGGCAAAAGTCGCAAGAATCATATTCCAAGGATAGGAGACTTCAATGAGGTATGTAGTGGTGTTTCTAGTCATGATGGTTTGAAATCCACAAAATGACTTCATCTCTGTTTTCAGCTCGCTAAGTACCCTATTAACAATTTATCCAGGTCACCTGAACATTGTGTCTGTGTTTATCCAGGTCACCTGAACATTGTGTCTGTGTTTATCCAGGTCACCTGAGCAATGTGTCTGTGTTATCCAGGTCACCTGAACATTGTGTCAGTGTTTATCCAGGTCACCTGAACAATGTGTCTGTGTTATCCAGGTCACCTGAACAATGTGTCTGTGTTTATCCAGGTCACCTGAACATTGTGTCTGTGTTTATCCAGGTCACCTGAACAATGTGTCTGTGTTATCCAGGTCACCTGAACATTGTGTCTGTGTTTATCCAGGTCACCTGAACATTGTGTCTGTGTTTATCCAGGTCACCTGAACATTGTGTCTGTGTTTATCCAGGTCACCAGAACAACTAATTTGTGTTTATCCAGGTCACCTGCACATTGTGTCTGTGTTTATCCAGGTCACCTGAACATTGTGTCTGTGTTTATCCAGTTCACCAGAACAACTAATTTGTGTTTATCCAGGTCACCTGAACATTGTGTCTGTGTTTATCCAGGTCACCTGAACAACAAATCTGTGTTTATCCAGGTCACCTGAACAACAAATCTGTGTTTATCCAGGTCACCTGAACAACAAATCTGTGTTTATCCAGGTCACCTGAACAACAAATCTGTGTTTATCCAGGTCACCAGAACAACTAATTTGTGTTTATCCATGTCACCTGAACATTGTGTCTGTGTTTATCCAGGTCACCTGAACATTGTGTCTGTGTTTATCCAGGTCACCTAAACATCGTGTCTGTATTTATCCAGGTCACCAGAACAACTAATTTGTGTTTATCCAGGTCACCTGAACAACAAATCTGTGTTTATCCAGGTCACCTGAACAACAAATCTGTGTTTATCCAGGTCACCTGAACAATGAATCTGTGTTTATCCAGTTCACCTGAACAACGCATCTGTGTTTATCCAGGTCACTCTGTGTTAATCCAGGTCACCTGAACAACGAATCTGTGTTTATCCAGGTCACTGTGTGTTTATCCAGGTCACCTGAACATTGTGTCTGTGTTTATCCAGGTCACCTGAACATAGTGTCTGTGTTTATCCAGGTCACCTGAACAACAATCTGTGTTTATCCAGTCACCTGTGTTTATCCAGGTCACTCTGTGTGACCTGACATTGTGTCTGTCCAGTTGATCCAGGTCACCTGAACATAGTGTCTGTGTTTATCCAGGTCACCTGAACAATTGATACAGCATCTGTGTTTATCCAGGTCACTCTGTGTGTTTGTTATCCAGGTCACCTGAACATTGTGTCTGTCCAGGTCACCTGATCCAGGTCACCTGAACAACTAATTCTGTGTTTATCCAGGTCACCTGAACATTGTGTCTGTGTTTATCCAGGTCACCTGAACATTGTGTCTGTGTTTATCCAGGTCACCTGAACATTGTGTCTGTGTTAATCCAGGTCACCTGAACATTGTGTCTGTGTTTATCCAGGTCACCTGAACATTGTGTCTGTGTTAATCCAGATCACCTGAACATTGTGTCTGTGTTAATCCAGATCACCTGAACATTGTGTCTGTTTCAGTCAACCTACTACATGGAAGGCAACACAGGACACAGGGTGTTCCAGACGCAGTTTGGTAGGTGTCTTGCCTATGTGCCTTGCCACTAAACAGTTAAAGATGGCTCACCTTGCCACTGTAAACAGTTAAAGATGGCTCAAGGTGTCATGCATGTTACACACTGTAAGGTGTGTACCAATATGCATGTTATCATGTCGCACTGTAAGGTGTCATACCAATATGCATGTTACCATGATGCACTGTAAGGTGTCGTATCAATATGCATCTTACCTTGACGCACTGTAAGGTGTTTTACCAATGTGCTTGTTACCATGTCACACTATAAGGTGACGTACCAATATGCATGTTACCATGGCGCACTGTTAGTTGGCGTACCAATATGCATGTTACCATGACTATACTGTAAGGTGTCTTACCAGTCTGCATTTTACCATGTCACACTGTAATGTGGCGTACCAATATGCATGTTACCATGACTCGCTGTAAGGTGTCTTACCAGTCTGCATGTTACCATGTCACACTGTAAGGTGGCGTACCAATATGCATTTCACCATGACGCACTGTAAGGTGTCTTACCAGTCTGCATGTTACCATGTCACACTGTAAGGTGTCGTATCAATATGCATGTTACCATGATGCACTGTAAGGTGTTTTACCAATGTGCTTGTTACCATGACGCACTATAAGGTGTCATACCAATATGCATGTTACCATGACACACTGTAAGGTGGCGTACCAATATGCATGTTACCATGACGCACTCTAAGGTGTTGTACCAATATGCATGTTACCATGATGCACTATAAGGTGTCATACCAATATGCATATTACCATGCATGTTGTACCACGACCGGGTAAGGTGTTGTGCACAAATATGCATGTTACCATGATGCATATAGGTGTCGTACCAATATGCATGTTACCATGGCACACTGTAAGGTGTACCAGTATGCATGTTACCATGAACCACTGTAAGGTCTACATTATTGCATGTTACCATGACACACTGTTTTGTACCAATATGCATGTTACCATGGCGCACTGTAAGGTTTGTACAATATGCATACCATGCGCACTGTATGCATGTTACCAATATGCATGTTACCATGCGCTGTAAGGTTTTGTACAAATATGCATGTTACCATGGCCTGCGCACTATAAGGTGTCATACCAATTTGCATATCTACCATGGCACTGTAAAGGTTTGTACCAATATGCATGTTACCATGGCGCTTGCTGTAAGGTGTCATACCAATTGCATATCACCATGACTATACTGTAAGGTGGCGTACCAGTATGCATGTTACCATGACGCACTGTAAGGTGTTGTACCAATATGCATGTTACCATGACTATACTGTAAGGTGTCGTACGAATATGCATGTTACCATGGCGTACTGTAAGGTGTTGTACCAATATGCATGTTACCATGACACACTGTAAGGTGTTGTACCAATATGCATGTTACCATGGCGCACTGTAAGGTGTCGTACCAATATGCATGTTACCATGACACACTGTAAGGTGTCGTACCAATGCATGTTACCATGACGCGCTGTAAGGTGTCGTACCAATGTGCATGTTACCATGACACACTGTAAGGTGTCGTACCAATGTGCATGTTACCATGGCGCACTGTAAGGTTTTGTACAAATATGCATGTTACCATGGTGCACTGTAAGGTTTTGTACAAATATGTATGTTACCATGACACACTGTAAGGTGGCGTACTAATATGCATGTTACCATGACACACGGTAAGGTGAGAGTCGTACCAATATGCATGTTACCATGATACACTGTAAGGTGGCGTACCAATATGCATGTTACCATGACACACTGTAAGGTTTTGTACAAATATGCATGTTACCATGACACAGTAAGGTGGCGTACCAATATGCATGTTACCATGACGTACTGTAAGGTGTTGTACAAGTATGCATGTTACCATGGCGCACTGTAAGGTGTCGTACCAATGTGCATGTTACCATGACGGACTATCATACAGATGGAGATCATTGTTGTATCAATGTTACCATCAGTGTTACATCACTGTAAAGCATATTTGTGTAACCATGACACACATGTAGATGTGCTATCTTTGATCATCACATACACAAATGTATTGTGTAGCTCACATTATCTCTCACGACAGGTAAGATTGGTGTGAACATCTGCTATGGGCGTCACCATCCACTCAACTGGTTGATGTATGGTGTCAATGGAGCTGAAATTGTCTTCAATCCATCTGCAACTGTCTCAGGACTCAGGTAATCACTGTCTGCAACTGTCTCAGGACTCAGGTAATCACTGTCTGCAACTGTCTCAGCTTTCAGGTTGTTGAAAGCATTCTTCCATCCTCCTCTAAACTTACACTTGATTTTTTGTTCACCTAAACTTTCCTTACAGTTGATGTGTTTCCTTCACATGTATGTGGACCATCAGTCTGGTATTACCTCTTTCAACAAAGCCTGTATCTGAACCTTTGCATGGAAGGCTGTATCTGTGGTGTCTCTAAAGAGTGCCTTGGCGAAGGCTGTATCTGTGGTGTCTCTAAAGAGTGCTTGGCGAAGGCTGTATCTGTGGTGTCTCTAGAGAGTGCCTTGGCGAAGGCTGTATCTGTGGTGTCTCTAAAGAGTGCCTTGGCGAAGGCTGTATCTGTGGTGTCTCTAAAGAGTGCCTTGGCGAAGGCTGTATCTGTGGTGTCTCTAAAGAGTGCCTTGGCGAAGGCTGTATCTGTGGTGTCTCTAAAGAGTGCCTTGGCGAAGGCTGTATCTGTGGTGTCTCTAAAGAGTGCCTTGGCGAAGGCTGTATCTGTGGTGTCTCTAAAGAGTGCCTTGGCGAAGGCTGTATCTGTGGTGTCTCTAAAGAGTGCCTTGGCGAAGGCTGTATCTGTGGTGTCTCTAAAGAGCCTTGGCGAAGGCTCTATGGTGGTGTCTCTAAAGAGTGCCTTGGCGAAGGCTGTATCTGTGGTGTCTCTAAAGAGTGCCTTGGCGAAGGCTGTATCTGTGGTGTCTCTAAAGAGTGCCTTGGCGAAGGCTGTATCTGTGGTGTCTCTAAAGAGTGCCTTGGCGAAGGCTGTATCTGTGGTGTCTCTAAAGAGTGCCTTGGCGAAGGCTGTATCTGTGGTGTCTCTAAAGAGTGCCTTGGCTTAAGGCTGTATCTGTGGTGTCTCTAAAGAGTGCCTTGGCGAAGGCTGTATCTGTGGTGTCTCTAAAGAGTGCCTTGGCGAAGGCTGTATCTGTGGTGTCTCTAAAGAGTGCCTTGGCCCTCTAAAGGCTGTATCTGTGGTGTCTCTAAAGAGTGCCTTGGCGAAGGCTGTATCTGTGGTGTGTCTCTAAAGAGTGCCTTGGCGAAGGCTGTATCTGTGGTGTCTCTAGAGAGTGCCTTGGCGAAGGCTGTATCTGTGGTGTCTCTAAAGAGTGCCTTGGCGAAGGCTGTATCTGTGGTGTCTCTAAGAGTGCCTTGGCGAAGGCTGTATCTGTGGTGTCTCTAAAGAGTGCATTGGCGAAGGCTGTATCTGTGGTGTCTCTAAAGAGTGCCTTGGCGAAGGCTGTGTCTGTGGTGTCTCTAAAGTGTGCATTGGCGAAGGCTGTATCTGTGGTGTCTCTAAAGAGTGCATTGGCAAATGCTCTATCTGTGGTGTCTCTAAAGAGTGCATTGGCGAAGGCTGTATCTGTGGTGTCTCTAAAGTGTGCATTGGCGAAGGCTGTATCTGTGGTGTCTCTAAAGAGTGCATTGGCAAATGCTCTATCTGTGGTGTCTCTAAGGAGTGCATTGGCGAAGGCTGTATCTGTGGTGTCTCTAAAGAGTGCATTGGCGAAGGCTCTATCTGTGGTGTCTCTAAAGAGTGCATTGGCGAAGGCTCTATCTGTGGTGTCTCTAAAGAGTGCATTGGCAAATGCTCTATCTGTGGTGTCTCTAAAGAGTGCCTTGGCGTGGGTATTATATAATCGGCAACATCTACAGTTGAGAGCAGAAAAAATGCGACTTTTGACAGAAGAAACATTTTTCAGTCATATTCAAAGATATAACATTTGTTACATTTGGGACTACACTTTCTTAGTAAAGTTGAGATTCTAGTACGTTTGTTGGGTTGAGTCTCATCTGGGATTCGAACCCACACCCTTGGATTCAGGCACCATATCGCCAGCACACAAAGTCAGTCGCTCTGACCCTAATCCAGCTTAAAATTTCTTTAAATTGCGGTGGATTGAAGCCTGATGTAAACCTGTCAAATTCACAAGTCTGTTTGCTGATTTTATACCAGATTCATAAAACACCAGGAGTCGATTTCTGTTGCATTGTAGTGTCATGCTAACCAGAGGTACAGATAAGCTGCATATCTGCGGAAATTACGCTAATGTTTATGTGAAAACTCAATTCCTATTATGTCTATTGCATACAAGTACGCTTGAATTTTTGTAAAGACTCAATAATTTGATCTTATATGCGTACACACAAAAATGTGAAATCTTAGCTTGCGTACTGGTGGATAGATAAAATAACTGAGGTATATTGAGAGGTTCTATTTCAACACATGAACTTGGCAACTTGCAGTCTTTCTTATCATTTCTCATATTACAAATCAAATATAAATGACAAACACGTAAACCAACATTTAAACTTTATTATATTTTTACAATTAATGGAAAATGGCAAAATACCCAATAGAGTTTCAGTGAGGTGGGTACAATTTATTAGGTTACTCAAAGGAAAGCAGTGTTCGCCGTAGGTTTTGTACTAGTGCGTGCAGAAATAAAATTATAAATATGTAGTCGAAATATTTTGCATGTAAAGTTTTCATTACAATAACATCATGATCATAAGAAGTAATTATAATTACAAGCTTTAACATAAGATCATGATGTGTGTAGTATTTGCCACCCTGAAACACAGGAACATTGATACATTGATACTATGGTCAATGGTGAGCACCAGGTGCAGTATGTGTACCTATCATTAAGCAAATAGGAAGTTTCAGTAAACTGTCCTTACAGCTTGATAACTGGGAAAATCAATTGATCTTATTGTTGATAAGCAAATATGGGGCATCTGACAAGATGGCATTATTGGCATGTGAATTGTGGCCTGTCATTGAGGACTTTGCAAGAGATGTTGGTTGTCATCCATCAACTACCTAGCCGACTGGCCAGAAAACATCATCATCATCATCATCATCATCATCATCATCATCATCAACCCATCTGCCTCTGTCTGTGTGTCACGTCCCCACTTACAACAAGAATTCTAAGTGTGTATTCACTATGTGGCAGCCCTGTATCTCATTTCGGATGGTAAGCCTGCAGTATCCAGCTCCTCATCCGCAATGTTAAGCTTCCGTGGTCAACTGACATGCACATAAGTGTGCTGATGTCCATGCTAATGATAGTTAAGCTGCTGTTATTTCATATGTCTTGACAGAACTGTGAAATTGCGTGGTTTGTGATTTCTTACATCACACCTTTCCTGCCAATAGTCCAGATCTTAATTCCATGTAGCATGTTTGGGTCAAAATATGCCTTTGAGAATGTCTAATGCACACCCTTGATGTGTTGGAACATTGCCTGCATCAAGAATGGAAGGCAGAACCACAACGTCAAATTCATATGCCAGAATCTAGAAAATGACCACACTTGTAAACATCAACACTACAAAATGAGTCATTTTATTGCCATGTTTGCTTCTATGTAACTACTGTTTTTCATTCTTTAAGTGTTTAGATTTGCCATTTTGCCACTCCTAAGGGTCCATGTAGTTAGTTGAACCTAAGTGTGGATAAATTTCTTTGCTGTTGTTAATGGTAATATATTGATACTGTGAAAAATATGGGGTGTTGCAATAAATTTTTCCATGTGTATACATCTCTATATACCCTGTGAAGACCTTTTGACTTTCACTTCTCTTATGTGACTCGATTGCCAACATCTGCTCTGAAATGTTTGGGTCTTTGAAGTAGAAGATGATGTGAATAGGATTTTAGCAATCTTGACTCTAATATATGCTGACCAGATTCTGATCAACGACAGCCGTTTTTGGAGTGACGTTGTGGCCCATTATTCTACATATATCATGAATTTTAAGATTCAATGAAGACGAAGTAAGTCTGAAAATGTCCACTTTGCTGTGAAGAACAGATACAGATGGCCCTCCACACAGCCAGTTATGTATGTACTCATGTACTCGAGTGAGAGGAAACTTGTCTGTTAAGCTGAGACTTGGATTATTTTCTCTTGTCTCATCATTGTCTTCTGATCTGTGACACCAGAAAATAATTTAAACTTCAGGCTCTTGTGGATCATATTCGTGAAGAATTGCTTCAATTGCTTCTTTTATGATAAGATCAAAGGTGAATGTAGTCAGATGTTGGGTCTGTCTGTTATCACCAGACTGAAGTAGCTTCATGATAGTCTGATTTGGAAAGGATTAGCACATGCAGTGTAGGGGGGATCTTTCTCCATGTTTGTATTGCAGCTGACACACTGGTGTCTCACCGCAATGGTTTACCACAAAGTAACCTGTGCAATGATTTACCTCAAGGTAAGCTGTGCAGTGGTATACCTCAAGGTAATCTGTGCAATGGTTTACCTCAAGGTAATCTGTGCAATGGTTTACCACAAGGTAATCTGTGCAGTGGTTTACCTCAAGGTAATCTGTGCAGTGGTTTACCTCAAGGTAATCTGTGCAATGGTTTACCTCAAGGTAATCTGTGCAGTGGTTTACCACAAGTATCTGTGCAGTGTTTACCTCAAGGTGGTGGTTACCTCAAGGTAATCTGTGCAGTGGTTTACCTCAAGGTAATCTGTGCAATGGTTTACCTCAAGGTAATCTGTGCAGTGGTTTACCTCAAGGTAATCTGTGCAGTGGTTTACCTCAAGGTAATCTGTGCAGTGGTTTACCACAAGGTAATCTGTGCAGTGGTTTACCACAAGGTAATCTGTGCAATGGTTTACCACAAGGTAATCTGTGCAATGGTTTACCACAAGGTAATCTGTGCAGTGGTTTACCTCAAGGTAATCTGTGCAATGGTTTACCTCAAGGTAATCTGTGCAGTGGTTTACCTCAAGGTAATCTGTGCAGTGGTTTACCTCAAGGTAATCTGTGCAGTGGTTTACCTCAAGGTAATCTGTGCAATGGTTAAGTGTCAGTAAGATGTTATGATTCATGACATCTGTTGTTTGTATATATTACCAACGCTTATGTAATAGTCTCCTTTTCCACTTGTAGTGAAACAATGTGGCCAATTGAAGCGCGCTGTGCAGCTATTGCCAACACATACTTCACTGTTGCCATCAACAGAGTGGGCACGGTACGTACATGTCACACATGCCCAGCACACGTCACACACACAATAGAAGGTACATACATGTTACACACACCCAACACACAAAATACACACACACAGATTACACACTAAATGCAAGGTACCGGTATGTACATGTTACACACACCCAACACACAGAACACTAGGGGTGGGTATTGCAGAGAATTTTCATATTGCGATATATTGCGATACGAAAGCATATATTGCGATATGTATTGCAATATATTTCAAGAAGTTGTTTCTTTAACAATAAACTACTTATAATTGAGTTAACGCTTTATTTATACAGCAAAAACACAACAAAATCACTACGCTTGATTAAGCTTTAATAAAAACTTTTAATCATGACAAAATAAGAATATAATAATATTTGGCACAAATGAAATAAGGAAAAGAATAATTTAACATCAACAGAGTGGTTACTAGTTTGAACTTCTTTCTCCACTCTCAAAAAAGCCCTGAGATTTTAGACAGCAACTTGACCTGGTCAGGACATATCAGGCATCATTGGTCATTACTAAATAATTATTTAAAACAATCTGAATCAAAACATTGCAAAACACTTGAACAAAAGTTAAGAACACAACTTCAAACCGAACTTTACAATCCAGTTAAATGTAAAATCTTTGAAGGGCATGTAGAAGTGGAATGCATAAGAAAAGCAAGATTTATGTATGTCAGCTTCATTCACAATATAGAAGTTGACATCCATAAATCTTGCATTTCTCAGTTAAATGTAATTTTCACCACGATCATTCCCACCACCATTACCACAGTTACCGATCATCAAGGTTTCCGAGGGTTACGAAGTGTCCGAATGCATGTCAAAATACCGGTTTTCGATGAGCGTATCGCAATACATATCGTTTTCACGTCTGAACCGTTTTATACCAGTAAACTGGTTATATTGCGCAGCCCTACAGAACACGCACACATTACACACACAATGCAAGGTATGTACATGTTACACACACCCAACACACACATTACACACACAATGCAAGGTACCGGTATGAACATGTTACACACACCCAACACAGAATACACACACATCACACACACAATACAAGGTATGTACATCTTACACACACCCAACACAATCCAAGGTATGTACGTCTCTCTTTCTCTCATGCTGAAGACCCGGGTTCGAATCCCCACATGGGTACAATGTGTGAAGCCCATTTCTGGTGTCCCCCGCCATAATGTTGCTGGAATATTGCTAAAAGCGGCGTAAAACCAAACTCAATCAGTCAGTCTCTCTCTCTCTCTCTTCCCCCACCACACACACACACACATGCCAAACACATCATATGTGTTCACACAGTCCACACACTTCCTGTACACATACACTCCCTGTACACACACGCTCCACACATACACATGTACACACACATACACATGCCTGTACACACACTCCTGTACACCCCTGTACACACACACTCCCTGTACACACACACATGCCTGTACACATACACTCCCTGTACACCCACACATGGCTGTACACACACACATGCTCCCTGTACACACATACGCTCCCTGTACACACACACATGCCTGTACACACACGCTCCGTGTACACACATACACATGCCTGTACACACCCACACTCCCTGTATATATACACACACACACCCTGTACACACACACTCCCTGTACACACACGCTCCCTGTACACACAGCTCCCTGTACACACATGCCCTGTACACACACATGCTCCTGTACACACACACTCTTGCTGTGCACACGCGCACAGCACACTGTACACACACACACCCCCTGTACACACACACTTCCTGTACACACACTCTCCCTGTACACACACATGCCTGTAAACCATGAGGTCTTCTGTTACAGGAATTCTTCCCCAATGAGTTTACCTCTGGATCAGGCCAGCCTGGTAAGTCGGCTGTCACAACATGTGATACTTGTTGTCTCACTGTCTCACTAGAACTCGTGTATGCAGACTGACACCTGTGTACAACTTTGATACTAGTTCTGGTTCTGCAGTATGTATCACTTGTTATACAGCACCACCAGCCATGGAGATCATTCTGCTGGTGTTGCTTGTTGGAAACACAAGTCTGTGATTCTCCATTGGGAAATGATGTAATTAAACCAGAAGTACATGAAGTACACTAAAAGTGATATCAGTAATTTGCAAATGCAATTTCCTTCTCCCAGTAGCTGTAGATGTAGGACTTCAGGTAACCTGCACCATTTCCGGTGCCCCCACTGTGATATTGCTGTAATTTTGCTAAAAGCGGGGTAAAACCAAAACTCACTCACTTAGGTAACCTGCAGTAATGTCCTGGACATTGACTATATAGTCAAGAGGTTGTGTCTGTATCAGTAGTTACTAGTAATGAGAAACCTCAATCCTCTCATCTCAGTCTTCTAATTCAACTTCTACCAACACATACTTTAAAATATGTACAGTGGCTCTACTAAAGACAATCTGCCTCAGTGGGGATGATTTGGATGTAATGTAACACTGGATATTTGTTTTGCTTGACGATTGCGGGCTATCACTTCTTCGCAGAACCAGTTCTTTTTAATTCTTTCAAGCCTTCTGTATCAGTGTTTGACACAATTATTGTATTTTCATAAACTTTTATAAAGATGACCTTATTTGTTTTTTAACAGCTCACAAAGACTTTGGCCATTTCTATGGTAAGAATGTATTCTTACAAGGTAATATGCTAGACATCATGGTGCAGTCAACCTCTTGTTGAATGCATGTTTTCTTGACTATATACAATATCACTTACACAGTGTATCTATATGTGACTATGTACAACGTATTACACAGTGTATCTATGTACTATGTAGACGTTTACACAGTGTATCTACTGCTGAACTATGTAGAATGTCACTTACACAGTGTATCTACTGCTGACTAACTATGTCCTTAGAATGTATCTACTGCTGACTATGTAGAATGTCACTTACACAGTGTATCTACTGCTGACTATGTAGAACGTCACTTACACAGTGTATCTACTGCTGACTATGTAGAACGTCACTTACACAGTGTATCTACTGCTGACTATGTAGAACGTCACTTACACAGTGTATCTACTGCTGACTATGTAGAACTTACACAGTGTATCTACTGCTGACTATGTAGAACTTACACAGTGTATCTACTGCTGACTATGTAGAATGTCACTTACACAGTGTATCTACTGCTGACTATGTGGAACGTCACTTACACAGTGTATCTACTGCTGTCTATGTAGAACTTACACAATGTATCTACTGCTGACTATGTAGAACTTACACAGTGTATCTACTGCTGACTATGTAGAACTTACACAGTGTAGCTACTGCTGACTATGTAGAACTTACACAGTGTACCTACTGCTGACTATGTAGAACGTCACTTACACAGCGTATCTACTGCTGACTTTGTAGAACGTCACATACACAGTGTATCTACTGCTGACTATGTAGAACATCTACTGCTGGCTATGTAGAACTTACACAATGTCTGTCACACCAATCTGCACTGAGCCAGTATGAATCTATGTGAATACATGACAAAAACTTCTTCATGTATTCATGTTGGTACAACTTCTAAATGCCTTTCAAGAACTTCCTGGATGTATGTGTTGCAGGATCCAGCTATGTTGCTGGTCCAGATGGAAGCCGCACCCCGGTCAGTACATTATACCTTAACAATTAAGGAACTTGAGGGAAACTGCTGATTTAGTACTAAAATTTGACACAGAATGGTCTGTTTTCTTAGATTAACTGCAGATTAACTAGAGAAAGTCAGATCATATTGTTCATGTCTGCAGTAATGACATCAGGGATGAATATATCTTAACATTGTTAATTTGTTTGATTGATGTTACAGTCATTGTCTCGTACCCGTGATGGGCTCTTGGTGACTGAGATGGACCTCAACTTGTGTCGCCAGGTGAATGACAGGTGGAACTTCAGGGTAGGTTGGTCAAGTGGAGTTTTGGTCACTATACTTAAATTTCCAACATCACCAAACACCAATCTAGATAACATACCTTTCAATTTTGTGCCAGTTTCATGTTTCTAACATTTGCATACAACATATTTCAGGAGATATACGTCCCATTGGCAACTATTTATTCTAATGTTTTAGCCTTATTTCAACACCATATATTTATATTCACACAACCTTATTCCGTACTCTAATGAAAGACGCCTATGTTGATAGTCTTAGCTTTGCAGTTTTGATTGTGATTGTAGTGAAGCACTGTCTATTACAGGTAAACAACAAGTAAATCTTCATCCAAATTTACACCTAACTGGTATCTCTACAGAATCACCCCAATTCATTTATTTGTGCCTGTAGACCTGCATCAGTAGCTGAGATATATATCCCATCATCAGCATACAGTGGCAAAAATGAATGACTTGAGTATCAAAATAACAAGAACTGTTTATCTTATCACCTGGTAAAACCAGTTCTAACCTAGATCGTCCCTGATGTGTGGGAGTACGACAGGAAGGTGTTTTAAGTCCAGTGTTGTTTTCATTATTTACCAGTGAATCACCATAGAAGATCTACCCGGCGGTTAGAATTGGTCTTCAGCAACTCATGCTTGTTGTAACAGGCAATAACGTGGATTGGGTGGTCAGACTCGCTAGCTTGTTGACACATGTCATCGTATCCCAATTGCGTAGATCAATGCACATACTGTTATACTGTATTATTTCCAAACCAAAGCTATATAGCTGGAATATTGCTGTGTGTAGTGTTTAAAAAGTGCCTTAATTTTAAATGAAATAAGTGAATCTGTGTGCCTTCGTTTCTTGTAAGTTAGATAATCCAAGTGTATCGTAGCCATGGCTCTACATAACTTGTGGCTGATGTGGGATATGTGGAGGGGAAGAGTCAGATATGTTCTGCATTATTTCAGATGACCCAGAGGCTAGATATGTACCAACAGGAGCTGACAGAGGCAGTCAGAGATGATTATGTTCCCAATGTCGTCAAAGAAGCCTAGGGGGTACATGCACAATATTTGATTCTATCCTTAAAATCTTGAAGATTATCTCACACTCTTTTAATCCAATCTACTTCAACATGCATATCTCCAGCAAGCAATGTCTTATCGTGAGTATTAATATTTGATGGCTCTCACAACATATACTGCTTGTTGGAGAAATCCCAGACGAGATAGTACTTGGAAATAAAAACATTGATATCACTCAAGTGTCTGTGTTTGCTCCCCTTGACTCAAGGCTGCGTCTCTCTGTTGCAGATGACACTGGCTCAAGACCCTAGCCTGGCTGTGGGATTATATACTGTTGTCTTAATTCTTACTTTGTCAGGAGTAGATAATCAGAATGAAATGAGGGTAAAATCATCATCTCCTGAAGTGATCATACAATATATAGAGTATTATTGTTATTCTTGATCTAGATCTGACACTGGAGGTTAAATCTGCAAGAGATGTTCTAACATCTTACAGATAGATCTGTGTTCGCTTCACATGTAATGAAAGAACTCAGGTTGTTGTTTTATTTACTCATATAGTATGTATATATATCAAGCAGAGACCTGCAGATATAGGTAACAGTCTTGAAAGTAGACATGACTACACAGTGGGAGATTAGAATGGTGTATTGAGGATGTATCAGCTGTGGGGACAGCCCGGCAGGTTGAACAGCAAGTCTCTGCCTCTGTCTGTGAAAACCTGTCACATGTGATAAGGGGCAAACACTCACCCAGACCATCTGTTCTGTGAACACACAAGTCATCCAACCTAGTGAAGATGTTACCAGCAAACTTTGGGTTAATACATACATTGGCCAAGTAGTAAAGCAATGCTTGTGTTTCATAGTATACTGTCTGATCCAGGGCCTCCTTTCGCAAAGTTAAAGAAAGTCTTTAACCTTAGTGCAATGTTAAAGAATGGGAAGTAAGGTTACCCTTAGTATAAGTTTGCTTCGTGAAAGGAGCCCCAAGACAACATTATATTTGCACACATGGTTTAAAGATTTAAACGTTGATAGACATGGCTGCACATGTAGTTGTAGGGGTAGTATAGTTTGATTCTGGGACTCTATCCTTGCACTAAAGATTATTGCAATAACTGTACTGTCAGCTTGTGATGGAACTTTATTCGAGAAGATACTTTGATTTATATGATTGTGTTATAGCACTATACAGATAAGTATGTAAAAAGAAGCATGTTTGTAATGCATATATACTCATAACTAAACGTTTTGCATGGGCAGATACTGGTTTGCTGCAAAAATGTAAATATTGGCACCAGACCAAAGACAAATGTATGTATAATTCATTGTTCATGATTAATAAAAACGACCAGCTTTTGGTGAGAGAACCATACCAGATGCCCACGTAACAGACCAGGCATGTCTGTTGGAAACAGTATTGTTTAGAAGCATTTCCACATCAATAAAGTATGCTTGTCTAACTAATCTGTTGTATGTTGTGTCTGATTGATGTATTCACAGGGGTCATAAATAAAAACACCACTAAATACAATATTAGCTAGTGCCTTACTGGGACAATCCATGGCACACTGTCACTGCAGTCTGTAGCTGGTGCACCCACCTACATTCTCAACCATTCGGACATTGCTGGACGTACCCCTGACCACATTGAGAGGCAGTCCCCTATCAACACCTAGGTCAGTCAACCAGTGCGATCTGTACCAGTTATGTATCAACACCTAGGTCAGTCAACCAGTGCGATCTGTACCAGTTATGTATCAACACCTAGGTCAGTCAACCAGTGCGATCTGTACCAGTTATGTATCAACACCTAGGTCAGTCAACCAGTGCGATCTGTACCAGTTATGTATCAACACCTAGGTCAGTCAACCAGTGCGATCTGTACCAGTTATGTATCAACACCTAGGTCAGTCAACCAGTGCGATCTGTACCAGTTATGTATACTACTCAAAAGAATCCAAGGTACACATGAACTGTTAGTAGATTTCAGGAACTGATGACTTGTCCATCTATATGTATGTAAGTTTCTAAGGGTAATGGTGAATGACTAGCCATATTTTGTGCAAGAATTGCACTAACTGAGCACCATTTGAGGGACCAACAGGCTTCACAAATGTTGGTGCCCAATCAGGATAACAGCCCTGCCCATTCTGTCGATCTGATTGTGCTACACAACGTTCTTGACGTCATTAGAGTAAAGTTAACGGACTCACCCAGAAGTGTAGCCACACACGTCATCGTATCCCAATTGCGTAGATCGTTGTTCATGCTGTTAATCACTGGATTGTCTGGTCCAGACTACATCTCTAGCTGGAATATTGCTGAGTGCGTCATTAAACTACAAACAAACGAAAAGGAGTGTTGCCTGTGAGCCACAGCTGTAAAACTTTGCCTCTATTGCAAATGGAGGCGGTGGGGTAGTCTAGTGGTTAAAGCTTTCGCCCGTCACGCCGAGGCCCGGGTTCGATTCCCCACATGGCTACAATGCGTAAAGCCCATTTCTAGTGTCCCCTGCCGTCATATTGAAGGATTATTGCTAAAAGCGGCGTAAAACTAAACTCACTCTATTGCAAATGACCCTGAACGGGAATACGTTGTTGAAACTGAATCTTCCCCAAATCATCACTGATCCGCTGCAAACGTCAGGGTCCACATAGTGCTCAGATAGGTGTATGACATGGTCCAAACTGTCACGATTTTGTTTGCACGTCATGCAAGGCCGTTAAACACCAGGAAACCTGTTCCTGTGGTTTTGTGACTAACGCTAGCAGCCTGCCCAGTATGCATTCTTAAACCATTTGCAATAATGGTGCGTTAGCGTTTACTGCCTCGTGGCAACGAGTCGTAATTTTGATTCGTCCACGTCCAAGGCGACGTGCTTCCTGAAGTTGTCCTGTATACTGAACATGTGCCCATCATGTTTGTGAATGACGGCCGTGCCACTTCACACACACTGATGCCATGCTGAACCCTGGCCACAGCCCTGTAGCTCAACACTGCCCTAACATCGTCTCACACTGATGGACCGCCTCCGTGGTGAAGTGGTTAGAGCGTCCGCCCGGAGAGCGGAAGGTCGCGGGTTCGATCCCCGACCGCGTCATACCAAAAGACGTTAAAATATGGTACTTGTTGGTCCCTGTTTGGCGCTCGGCATGAATGGGTACAACAAGGACTGGTCGGCTCGGAGTCAGTATAATGTGTCTGAGTGGGTTATTCATGCTTCACTGCGGCATGGTATCTCAGTGGGCTAGCACTATAAAACCAGCTTAAGTCTGGGCTAGTACAAGCAGCCGCACATACACATACACACGCATGCCCGTCGTCATATGAGCCAAATATTCTCAAGCACGACGTTAAACCCAATTTCACCTCACCTCACCTCACACTGATGCCATGCTGAACCCTGGCCACAGCCCTGTAGCTCAACACTGCCCTAACATCGTCTCACACTGATGCCATGCTGAACCCTGGCCACAGTCCTGTAGCTCAACACTGCCCTAACATCGTCTCACACTGATGCCATGCTGAACCCTGGCCACAGCCCTGTAGCTCAACACTGCTCTAACATCGTCTCACACTCAGGTTTTCAGAATGTGATAACCTGCGGCTATCTATGGAATGGTGGCACGCAGTCCAGCGATATGATTCTGTGATTAAATTCTGCTGTTTGTGCCATGCCGACGTTAGTCCAGGACATTACTTCCCAGGCCAAAATATCATTTTGTATTATACCCACACGACAATGAACAGTCAGGTGAATAGAAGTCTGTCGAGAACAAACTTGATAACGTTACGTAACATGGACATCGACACATTCACATGTGATTGTGTTTGGAACAACGAAAATACAAGTAATATTTCTTTGGAGTTCCTCTGAATATTTGAGTGGTATAATATTAGTTAGTGGATCGTTGAGTGTTGACGTGATTCTTGATTGCCAGAAGAATGTTACAGAATAATGACTTCGTGGACTGTTGAGAACAAAACATTATGGTATCTCATACGAGTATATATACAAAACAGACGTTGATGTCATTGTAACATACATGCATCTTCCTTACTTGAACTTCATCAAAAGTCATGTATGAGATCATTATCCACATCTGCACTGAAACAAACGATTCATCAAGGGAGATGGTTTCATTGCACTATGAACGTCAACAGGACGGTACTTAACATTGGAAACCCGTGAAGATGCGGGTTAGAACTGATCTTCAGTAACCCATGCTCATAAGAGGCGGCTAACGGGATCGGGTGGTCAGGCTCGCTGACTTGGTTGACACATGTCATCGTATCCCAATTGCGTAGATCGATGCTCAAGATGTTGATCACTGGATTGTCTGGTCCAGACTCGATTATTTACAGACCGCCGCCATATAGCTGGAATATTGCTGAGTGCGGCGTAAAACTAAACTCACTCACACTCTTTACATATCACAAGCACAAGATGGATATCACTAGCACCAGAACCACTTACTGGGAACTCCACTGTTAAATGAAATCACTGATCACACATAGTACCCCGTCCGCCTCCCCACCAACACACACTCCGGGATGTTGAAGCGCTTTATGCAGTCTCCCTACCTGATACCTATGCAGCTGTCAGCATACACCTGATCACAACCATCCACGAACAGATAAATAAGTTATAAAGCAAGTAGAGTGTAATTGGAAATATCACGGAATTCCAACGTAGTTACCATATGATATTATGCAATGTTTGACAGTAAATACACATCCTCTATTACAATCGTAAATATATGCGCATTCACTCAATAAAACATACAAAGATGAGGTCTCCAAAATGTATGCTTAGGTCTAATTAGGTGTTCCATTAATAACTTTGCAAAATGGGGACACGATCACAGTGCCAGTGATAAACATTTTAATGATACTAAAGTAATATACATTACTGAGAATAGGTAAGTTATGGTTATCATAAAAATGCATATTTGTGAGCTAGCAAATCTGCATATTAATAACTTGAACAATCTGATCCTGTGTCCAAATATCTGTCACATGCAACCAGTCTGTTGACTTCAAAGGTGATGTAGCGTCACATGCAGCCAGTCTGTTGACTTCAAAGGTGATGAAGCGTCACATGCAACCAGTCTGTTGACTTCAAAGGTGATGTAGCGTTACATGCAACATGGAGGAAAGTGCATGATATGAACAAGCCAGGTTCTGCTTAAAACAAGAGAAGACATGTACTATCCCAACTACCCTTTACTTTAAAATGAATTAATCCAGAAGTCACCCAACACAAAGCTTTGCAACTACTCACGGAACAAGTAAAATTAATACCAGGGAATGCAACAAGCCGAACTAGATAACATACATAACGAACAAACCTAAAAACACAAGTCTACACGCGGAGACTGGGACGCCGCATATGTCTGTAGTCTGGACTGAGTATATCTTTCCTATAGATTAGGTTTGTAAACATTTACAGTGTATTGGATTCCTATGATCATTTTTAGCATTTTGACCCCTGCCACTATATTTACTGATCATAAACATAACGGGGTCCATTTAAATGGCAAAATGGTTACAAATATTTACCGAGTGTAACCCAAACACTTAAAACTAATCTTAAGCCCCCACCACCATCTACAACTACCTCACCCCTCTCCACACCATCCCCACCACCATCTACAACTACCTCACCCCTCTCCACACCATCCCCACCCCATCTACATCTACCTCACCCCTCTCTCCACACCACCCCCACCACCATCTACACCTACCACACCCCTCTCCACACCACCATCTACATCTACCTCACCCCTCTCCACCCCACCCCCACCCCATCTACATCTACTTCACCCCTCTCCACACCACCCCCACCCCTCTCCACACCACCCCCACCCCATCTACATCTACCTCACCCCTCTCCACACCACCCCCACCCCATCTACATCTACTTCACCCCTCTCCACACAATCCCCACCCCCATCTACATCTACCTCACCCCCCTCTCCACACCACCCCCCCATCCCATCTACATCTACCTCACCCCTCTCCACACCACCCCCACCCCATCTACCTCCCCCCCTCTCCACACCACCCCCACCACCATCTACATCTACCTCACCCCTCTCCACACCACCCCCACCCCATCTACATCTACCTGACCCTCTCCACACCACCCCCCCCCTCTCTCCACACCACCCCCACCCCATCTACATCTACCTCACCCCTCTCCACACCACCACCACCCCATCTACATCTACCTCACCCCTCTCCACACCAACCCCACCCCTCCCCACACCACCCCCCACCCCTATCTCTAATGTTTTTAATTTTACAGCACGCTATGCATGACGGGTTGAAGGAGACGGCGGTGTGTAAGACATTAAACATATTTAACAATCAGTGTGTAATGTCAAAGACATTAAAACAATAAATACACGGGTGTGTGCATCCATGGCCAGCAACATTACCGCTACATCATAACAAAAGTG